TAGGGAGCGAAATGTTCAAAATTGTATATTTCCCCGTTAGTTTATTCTGTCTTTAGTTGATTCTGCCGTTAGTTTATTTGCTACTTACTTATTTCTACGTCATTTTCGAGCTCTGATTTGGGTGCGTTATTGTTTTTGTCATCACTTCGTAGGGTCATCATCATGTCAATAAAATCGCCGCGTTTCTCTTGAACACCTGGAATTTTAAAAAAATCATAGTATTATATCTTACTAATAATATAAATGCGAAAGTTTAGATGGATGTTTGTTACGATGTAGCCTAAACTGCTGAACAGATCTCGAAGAATGGCATAGATGTAAAGAGTCTCGAAGAACATATTGCTACTTAGTTTGAATTTTTTAAATATCATACGGAGTCGCAGACAAAAGTTAAGATGAAATATTAAAAATCTATTGTAGAAGGTCTAAGAATTACTTAAGCAACTGTAATAAGAAATAGTTATGAATAGAAATCAATTTAGAAGACAAAACCTATAATGTCGACCCTCCATGTGAGTGATAATACTGGATTCATTTATGCTCTTTAACGTGACAGTAATACGAACCATTTTCTCTCGCACGAAGAACGCTTGTGACAATATTGTAGAAGAAATCATGTGTTTTCTTCGGGATAATCCTCATACGGAAGAACAGGACGAAAGCCGGCCAGAACTGACGCATTGTCCTGAAAAAGGTTTTCACAAGAATGTTAATTAAGTGTACTTTATGTAAAAGATTAGTTTCTTGTACAGTTCTAATTATATTATAAATGTGAATGTATAGATTTTATTAGGTATCTAACATCGAAAACTCGATTAAATTGGAAATGTGTCCCGGATATCTTTGATTCTCATATTTACATGATTACTCCACAATTTATTAATTAAGCGCCAATAGCCTAATGGTTTGGGGTACGGACTACCGATCTTGAGGTCGAGGGTTCGGATCCCTTGTCTTGTCGTGAACTATATCCTAGCACAAGCATAGAGCTTAGTTGGAATGGTTAAAGGAAAAATTAGTTAATTAATAAAAATCTACTTTTATTAAAAAAAAATTAAAATTTTATTTATTTGGCACAAATGTAAAACATAAAATCTTACTTCTTACTAATTATACATGCGAAAGTTTGAATGTTTGTAGTCTAATCGGCGGACGAATCTCGATGAAATTTGGCACAGATGTACAACATAGGCTACCTTATTTTGTTATTTTTAATTCCACGCGGACGGAGTCGCGGGCAAAAGCTAGTAATTTAATAAACACACAAATAGTCATAACATTGACAATAGTGATTAAACTCAATAATATATATGAGATTACGGCTTAAATTAATAATTAATAATAATAATAATAATTCATTTATTGTCTCTTTTGCATACATTTCATGAAAGTCTTGGCTCCTGTAGTAGGTTGCCCTGTGTCACAGGAGCCAATTCCTTCCCCAATACTTCATTATAATTCTTTTAATGTCTACACAAAGAAAACAAAAAATAATAAAAAAAACAAAATTATATTCGTCTATGACATCTCGGATATTATTTTCTCAAGACTTTCGTCTACTTCTAAAAATACATCTTTTATAGAGTAGAAAATTTCGTATTTACTTACTTTTCAAATATATTGAACAAACTCATTTCGTAGAAAGCTTGTAATGCAACCGCGAACGGATCATTAGGGTTGTCCATAACTGTACTCTTTAGTCCAAAAGCACAAGGTACTATTGCGTCAGCCGTATAACCTCCGACAAGTTTCTCTGAATCCACCAGTGTTGAATTTTCTGTTTCAACTTCTTCGATATTCGTTCCTGTACCCCTGTCGTTTAGGGGTCTACAATTTTTGGTATTTGATATCAAATCTTTGATACGTATTGTGAATTCTTTAGCTGTGTTCTCTATTATTGGGAACATTCCTCTTAATTTATTTGGCCTGAAATTAGAGATAGAAAAATAATTAAATTACCTATTAATCACTCAAGATATCAATCTCATATTCGTAGTATAACCTAACCAAGAAAAACTTCTGGCGGCAGCCACTTCAATCCACTTCCATTTGACATTTATATTTTTCGTATGTCGTGAGGGTATTTATATTTCTGGTTAGGGTATACGAGTGAAGATTTAAAACACTTAGAGCCTGTCCTACCACAGGCTGATAGAGGCTGAGATAGCTTAATAATGACGTCATATCAGATAAGGGAACAAAAACCGATATTTCCATCACATATTTTACACGTTGGATTGTTATCAGACAATTTACAATTTTCAATTTGGTGGGACTGGCCCTTAGCGAGCGTTCGCACGGACGCGAAAACGCTAGGCGGTAACTATGTGTCAAAATAGAACGTATGGGATTGTATGAAGCTGTTCATACGGGGGCGTTTTTCTTCTCGGCGTATTTCTCTACGCGCACTGTTCCATTTTGGACACTAGGCGTTAGCGTAAAAATAAAATGGAACGTATGGAACTTCATACAAGTGTTCGCACGGACGTAGTGGAAATCGCGCGGTACGCTACACTACTTTCCAAAATTACTTGGACCATCCAATAATAAACATTTAAAAAGTCTGATTAAGTTGAACTGTTGTCTTTATAAAATGATTTTTTTTGGGAATGTAGTCAAAATGTAGATGGAAAAATATTTTTGGAGCCTAGTGTAATTGTTTTAACGCTCACCGCGCTGTCAGCCGTTCGCACGGACGTGAAAACGCTAGGCGATAAATAATG